CAATTCACTGATGCCAGAGTTCTTAAGAGATAAAAATCTTTACAAAATATCCTCAGTGGTGCTATTGTCCAGAAAGAAATACCATGTGCCTGCCCCTTCTTTCCTCCCTCTCTCTGCAACACTGCATGTGTATGCATATTCCTCCCTGACAAAAAAACCCTCTCCCAAACATTTATTGCCTTTCTCCCATCCTTGCCCTTGTTCACACCATTTCGTCCCACCACTACCACCACCCTATTGGTAATCACTTTAATTTGTTTCTTGGGTATCTTTCCTGAGCTGCCTTATGCAAATATAAGCAAAGAGAAACAGACAATCTTAGCCCTTCTTCTTTCTTATGGAAAATGTAGCATGCTCTATCATTTTGCACCTTACTCTTTTTGTATAACAAAGAATTTTGCAACTCTTTAAATATCACTAAAAAGAAAACTAAATTTTAGGGGGCTGGCCCAGTGGTGTAGTGGTTAAGTTCGTGTACTCCACTTTGGCAGCCCAGGGTTCGCGGGTTTGGATGCTGGGTGTGGACCTATACACTGCTCATCAAGCTATGCTGTGGCAGTGAACTACACACAAGAAATGAAGGAAGACTGGCACAGATGTTAGCTCAGTGACAATCTTCCTCACTCACCAAAAAAAATAAAAAATAAAATAAAAAATAAGTTTAAAAAAAAAACAACTAAATTTTCAGTATCACTGCATCATATCCTGTCATGTGGATGCGCCACAACTTATTTAACTAGCCTCCCTTTGGATTGACACTTGCCTTTATTTCTCCTCCATTTTTTTTCTTGCTATTATAAACAATGCTACATGAACAACCTTGTTCACATGTAATTTCTGACAAGTGCATATTTATCTGCGGGATAAATATTCTTATGGGATAAATTCCCGTAAGAAGGACTGTTGTCTCAGAGGGTGATTGCACTTGCAATTTCAATGGATAGTGCCAAATTCCCTCCCATAGAGATTGTATCATTTTGTAACACTAGCAGGAATGTATGAGTGCTTGCTAAAATTTCACTTCTTAATATGAAATATAGAAATGGAGTTTCTAGGGATAAAGGGTTCTATGAGCTTACTCTGTAGCGCTCAAAGAAGTCCTATTCCTATAGAAGAAAGTAAGATACAAGAAATAGAATTGATAAGGATGACATCCACCTACTGGTTTTGAGGCTTTACCCAGGCTCAGATTAGGAAAATCTTGTGAAGAATGCATGAAGAAGCACCTTTGTAATGCTTTTGCTGAGGTAAATTCCCATGTTGGAATTTAAGTGTTCTGTCTCCTGGATGTGGTTCAGCATCATAACAGCACCCTTCCAGTGACTAATATAGTAACATTAACTTCATTTCAGGGGCCAATAGCTGCCTGGTCCAGGGCAATGGTAGGGTAAGTGGTTTAGGCTTCGGAATTAGACCTGCCTGGATTCTAATCCATGGTTACCCTACCTCCTATGGGTATGACTCTGGGTAAGTCATTTGGCCAACTCAAGGCTGTTTTCTAGACCATTAAGACGGAGATGTTAATCACTATGCCTTTTTGGACTGCTGTAAGATTAAGTGAAATAATGTTTGGGACAGTGTCTAATATATAACAGCATTCAACACTGACTTTCTCCTCTTTCCCTTTCTGAAAATAGCAGAGAATTCGGAAGAAAAACCCCAAAGTTCTCTCTAAACAGCTCTCTCCTCTTCTCTAAATGCCACAATTTCCACATATTAAATATGTCTTACTTTACTCATAGAAGAGCCTCTAAAAATCTCTTTACTATTATTTTAGATGTAATTCCAACACGCTTTGTGGTTTGGCTTCCCAAATATCCACTTCCCACTATATCAAAGCAGAAGTAACAGGAGCCAGAGTTGTTAACTGACTGAATTATGAAAATCAGAGATTTTAAAAAAATTGTTATTTAGAAACAGTAACAACAAAAGTGTCCAGTAGGCCTGGGGTGGCTCCTTGGTAGGTCAGAAGATAGTCAGAGCCTCTTAGCATAGGCTACCTTAAGGTCAACTCATCAAGAAAGGGTTAGCTGGTATGCTGCTGAGAAATCAGACCACTGGGCAATGAATTTCTTTCTATTTATTTTCCCCTCTGTTCACTAAAAAATTGAGGTATCTCTGTAATTCATCCATGAGTTTTATGAAGATTTACATCACAAAATTTAAAATATAATTTCAGGGGGGCACTTGAAAGGGTAAATTTCAGTTATCTGGAAAGTTAATTTGTTCATTTAACCAATATTTATTGAATGCTCACTATGTGCTCAGCACTGCGCTAAGTGCTGGACTTACTTGGAACACTCAATTGCCCCAAAGTTCTAGGTTAAAAAAAAGTGCCATTCATAGCACAGTCCAACTTTATGTTAACCTTTCAGCGAGTCTTCATGATAGCTTTATTATCATTGTAACTGATCTTAATTTTAGAAATTCGTGAGTTCCACAACGTATCCCTTCTAAAGAAGGCAGAATGATATAATTGTTGAAATGGCAAATGTAAAGATGAAATCACTTGGCAGTCTGTGAATCTTATATATCTACTTGAAACTTCAATTGTGATAAACCCTTTTGACTCAGTCTCATTCGTCAGCCTTATATAGTGAGTGTAATTTACTTAGCTAATTTCACAGTATATTATGTTCTTTCAGGGCACAGAGAAATAGGAATCATAAATATGCCATTGCTGCCTGCTTTTGTATCTCATTTCATAGCCTCATAGGCTTAAATAGAGGAAATATATCTAAGAACACAAATTAATTGTACATATTTCCTAGAAGTATTTCAAAATGCTTTCACGAATTAGAGATACCAAATCTACTGAATGCTAGAAGTTGAGTAACTATATTTTGGTAGTATGCAAACACAATAACAATAATAGCAATAATATAATAATGGCAGTTACCATTTACTTAGTGCTTACTACCTAGCATGTATCTTGTTGAGAGCTTTGAATGGATTACCACTTTTAATCCACCCAACAACTTTTCAAAGAAGTTACGGTTATTATTCCCATTGTGCAATGGAGGAAACAGGTTCAAAGACACTAACTACCTTGCTCACATTATTCATGTTGTTACTTTAGTGGGATCCAAACCTGAGCAGTCCTACTCTACACTTACACCATATCTCTAAGGTGTTATTAATTCAAATTCTGTAAAGAAAGAAATAGCATCCCATCTGTATGCAGAAATAATCCTTACCTGCCGGCTATAAGTTTTACTACCACAGGAACAAAGAGGCTTAAGTCATAGTATGAAATAAAAGGATACAGTTGTGTGACCTGTTTCCAAAAGTAGATTTTGGAATTACTCCCCCCGCCTCCCAATGGCTGGGGTAAAATTCTCTATGAGCACTTTCTGTAAACTATTTACAGGTTTTACCTTGGCATAAATACTCATGAAAAGTTGTGTCCTAAAATGTGGAGTCCTTGTCTTGCCCTGCCACACCCAAAACTTAACTAGGTGCTATGGCGTTAAATATCATATACCTCAAAATAACAATACTGAAAATTTCAAAGGCACGTTTCTTACACAGAACCTCAGTGCCATACAAATACTACCTAATTTGTCCTCACCGTTCCAAAAAAAGTTATTGGCATTATTAGAAAGTTTTACCGAAGGGAGAAGTAGATAGAATCGGAAAACGAGTACAAAAACCTACGGAGGTCAATGAGAAAATTCAGGGTTTAAAAAAATTTTTTGTTTTTAACTTCAAAATGTTCCTTTCACCTGATCAGAAACACCTGTAACCATCTAGCTTGCTCTATCCGGCTTCAAATATACTTTCACTGGGAGATCATTGTAATTCAAATCCATTCAGTGCTGCTTCACTTTTGTAATTTGTTAGTTAAGATTAAGTAGTGTACCCTGCACCTATTTTAATGATATAGCACATTGATAATATTTTCGCTCATTTAAAGCCATGTTTACTGACAGAGTCTTCACACCAAAAACTTCTAAAAGGTGATCTTCACACATTCAAATAGCCTGAACAAGTTAATTGACACAGCTTAAACCCTGGCTAGTTCTGAATTTTCCAAATTAAGGTCAGAATTTTAAAATCGCATACTTAAAAAAAAAAGATGGTAGAAATATTTCAATGGTGAAGAAAATGCACTCAAGGTCACTCTATGCCAATTCAATCTTTGCCCTAATACTCAAGATGCAATCAGGCTGATTTTTAATTGGATTTTGCCGGGAGTTTTCTTAAAGGAATGGTGGAAACTTTCTTACACAAGATGGTAAAGTTGTCAGTGACAAGAAAATCAGGGGGTCAACAGAGGTAAAAGAGGAGGGAGGTGTCTAAACAGCAGTGAGAATCAGTAAGTTGTGTGTGGGAATCCAACCTGACTTACGTAACTTCTAAAGACCCTCAAAATAAGGAAAGTATAGGAGAGAAATTTAAAAGAAAAAGAAGAGAAAAAGGCAAAGAGGTGAGACAGCCATTTTGATGGGGGGGGTGTCTAACTACAATGAGGTCATCCTATCTCCCGGAAGTGACACGTAATCACCTGCTTTGCACTAGCTCCGCCCCTTCCCTCAGAGGTCCCGCCCCTCCGCCAGCAGCCGGCAGGGTGTTAGGGGGCGTTTCTCCAGGAGGAAAGCTGTGAGCTGCGACGCTGAGGAAGGGGACCCCAAAACGTCTGGCACTGCCCCCTCCAGGGATCACTTTGGACCGCCTCACTCGGCCCAGCGGGATTCAGAAACGCCGAGGGGTCAACCTGATGGGTTTCGGGGTCAACGGAAGAGGGGAAGGGGAGCCCTGGCGGGGAGAACCCCCCGGTCCCCCGCCCAGCAGCTGAGGCACAGGAGGGCGGCCATCTTGGCCGGGAGGGTAGGGCTGGGGAGCTGCGGGCGCCGTGCGATTGGGGGGCTCGCCCGGAAGTGACGCCAACTACCCGGAAGCGGAGGGGGTTCCCTGGCCCACTCCCCCCTCGTTCGTTTGCTCCCCCGCTTCCTCCCCGCCCCCCTTCCTCTCCATTCGTTTCCCCCCCTCCCCGTTCCCTGCCTTCTTCCCCCCCCGTCCCTCCCCCCCCAACCTCCGGAGCTGGGAAGAGAGTCAAGATGGCGGCGAAATCCGATGGCGGTGGCGTGGGGGTGGGCTTCGCCCAGCTGCACAACCTGGACGAGGCGGTGGGCAGTGGCGGCGAGGAGGACGGGGAGCCCGGGGGAGGCGGCTGCGGCGGCGGCGGCGGCGGCGACGAGCCCGGCGAGAGCAGCTCGCTGCACATCTGCCACTGCTGCAACACCTCCTCGTGCTACTGGGGCTGCCGCTCCGCCTGCCTGCGCTCCCTCCTGGGCAAGAAGCCGCGCCGCAGCGCCGCCGCCGCCGCCGACGGGGGGGACCAGCCGCTGCAGCCGCCCGCGGCCGCCGACGCCGACCGCTACCCGACGCCCTCGGCCGCGCCGCCGCAGGTGGAGCGGCCGTGGCTCGACTGCCTGTGGATCGTGCTGGCGCTGCTGGTCTTCTTCGGGGACGTGGGCACCGACCTGTGGCTGGCCCTCGACTACTACCGCAAGGGGGACTACGGCTACTTCGGGCTGACCCTCTTCTTCGTGCTGGTGCCGTCGCTGCTGGTGCAGAGCCTGAGCTTCCGCTGGTTCGTGCAGGACTACACGGGCGGCGGGCTGGGCGCCGTGGAGGGGCTCAGCAGCCGGGGTCCCCCCATGATGGGGGCCGGCTACGGCCGCGGCGGCCCTGCGACGCCAGGGGCGCAGCGCCTGTGCCGCCTCTCCGTGTGGATCTGGCAGACGGTCATCCACCTGCTGCAGATGGGGCAGGTGTGGAGGTAAGAGCACTGCGGGGGTGGGGGCGGGGGCCGGGCCGGCGGCCCTGCGGAGGGCCCCGCGGGCGAGCTGGAGCCCTCCGGAGCGCGCTCCGCCCTCGAGGTGACTCGTCGGTGGGCCCCTCGGCCCGGCCTGGCCCGGGGTCTGGAAGGAGGGGTTTGCCGCGCACTTCCCGGGCGTCTCCGAAAGACCATCGTTTGATCTGGATCCCTGGCCACGCCTTTTGGCCCAGGGACGCCCAAGTCCCGCTGTTGGTCTCTCTTCATCCCTGGTTCGCACTTAGCGGAGCCCCTGCCTCATCCCTTCCCTCCTTTCCATCTCTGTAGACCTCTATTCCCGTTGTCCCTTGCCCCTGTAACCCAAGGTAACAGCCGCTGGCGCCTTTCCTCTGCACCCCTTCTCGCCTCCTGGGGGGAACCTTCCTCCTTCTAGCCGGTTTGCACTCGGTTTTGTCCCCCGGTGAGACAGCTTCCCCTCTCCCCCGTCTTCTCTCCGCAGTGGCCTGTTTGGGGCCCTGTGCAAAAATCCTCGCTGCCTCTCCTTTGAGCACTCCTTTATTCCACGCCCCCTCCCCCCTTCCTGCAACCCCATCCCCTCAAATGACCAAAACGCTGCCCTCCTTGAAGGCAAATGACTTTTTTTGCTGGATTAGACGTGCCCTTTGCTCAGTGGCAGGTAAAATTGTGTAGTCTGTGTTGGGTGTAAGCGTTTGTTTTTAACTCTCACCTCCAGAAGATCAGTTAGCCACCTGGGCACCTGTTCTGGTGGAACGTTTTTCCTGGTGTCCAGGCCAGTGCGTAGGTGGTTTACGTTTACAAAGCCCCGAGCTTGGCCCTGCGGCCCTTTCCCCTTTGTAAATTTCCCGGGTGCCAGGTGAATCCCGCAAAAACCACTTGCAGACGTTCTTTTTGCCACCAGCCTTAACTGGCTAAACTAAGGAAATGAGCCCGTTAAAACCTTGGTAAATCTTGCCCTCCAACTTAAATCAGCTTGAGTGTATTGTGGAAACAGTGAGTTGTAGGCAAAAGCGTTTGCGAGAGAAAAAAAATCTTACTGAAGATAAATTACACGGAGCTCTTCAGGTCGCCTGCTCCTGTGAGAAGACATTTTGCCTAGACTGCACCGACTCCTATGTCTAGTAGGAGACTTGAGCTGCTGGGTGTTTCGGTTAACTGAAATAAAGTTCATTGTCTTTGAATTGTTTGTCCAGATCTCTTTTCAGAATTGTAAATAAAAACGTTTCAGAAAGGATGGGATTGAATTGTGAGATCATGAAAGTGAATTCCAGAACTTTGTCCTGGAGAATTTACATGCACATTCAGGAAGGGGGCCATGTGATTGTTTCTTGATGTTTGGGTCCTGCCAGGCTTGTTTACTGGTGTTCCCAGCTTGAGCCAAGCAGCCTTTTTTCTAGCTGTATTTGTCTGCAGATAATTTGTTTCCTGCTGATAAGTTTCTAAGAAGAGGGGGCGTAAAGTAGAAAAGAATGGAAATTGATTAACTTTTAGCTATTAGGAGCTTAGCTTTGGGTGAAGTAGAAGTTTGAAATATGTTTTGAATTTGAAATCTAGATCTAAAAACACTGCTCAGCATCCAAATCCATACAAATCAAAGGTAGTGTGTTTGATATTGGGGATACTTTTTTTGGTTTCTTGTAGGTTGGCAAGATGCAAAGGCATGAAGCCGGGAGAGGGACAAAAAATATGGGGAAGAGAGAGATTTTGAAATTCTAGTAAAATTTCACAGCATGTATCTAATAACTAGGTCTCTCCTGAAGAAGCCTGTCTTTCTGTATCTTAGTCTCCTCAGTGTGGGCAATCCTAAGTTTGGTGTCAGGTTAAGATTCCTAGGAGAATTGTCTCTAATGTAATCCATCCTAGATATTTATTAGTAGTAAGCTTTTGGGACCTAATGAAATTGGAGTTCAGTTTCACAAATTCTCTTAGGCAGACTAATTTTCCTCCACTGACTTAAACCTTAATTCTGTTTGGGCAAAGCAGAAGTCCAGATTTTGGGACAAACTAAAAAGTACATTTTAAGTGTAAATTTAGTTTTTATAGTTGTTTAAAATACGGTAGTGTATTATTTTTCCAGAATTCCATTGAACTTTCAAGGTCTGCAGTGGTATATATATATTTTTAAAAGATGTCTGTGACTTTGTTATGTCTAAATTATTTTAGTCTTTTTTTCAAGATTAGAATGTATGTGTAAATGTTTCATAAAGTTAAGGTATTAAAAGACATGCTAATTCAGCTAAGTTATTTATTACAACATGGTTATACTTCAAAAGAAATATTTACTGAGGAAGGATTTTATCTTTTTATTTTAATTTTTTTCATTAATCTGGTTTTGCTTGAAATACTCCAGGAACAGGGTCTGCTCTTCAGCACCTGCTAGGCATGGGGCTTGCGAGGAAATCATTCATATGGAAAAGCTCTGGAGAAAGGTTTTTATTCTTGTTTTAATCTGTTGGCAAAAAATTTCTTGTCTAAGTGTATGAACATACATCATCTCAGATTTTACTGTGCTGATCTTTTGGGGTTACAGTTTTTCCCTTAATCATATTTGCTACTAAAATTTTGCTATTTCACGGGGTCACGTGACATAAAGGTTAAGGTCTAGGAATTATATCACTGATTGGGGCCACATTTCTAAGAAGAGATGTCAGTGAAGTTGTACATTGTCAAAACTGATTCCATTAAACCGTGAAGACCTGTCTTTTCATGTGCCTTTTTTTTTTTTAAGTGTAAATGATTTGACTCTTGCTTGGACAGAGCACAGTGCTTATTTAAGAAAATGTAGTTGCTTTGATAGTAGAGTGGAAACTTCTGTGTGTGCTGCCTTTCCTGTCAAGATGCAAAATACTTGACATCTCTTTCACCAAATGCCTAAAGAATGTTGAAAATATTTGTGGTGGGGCCCGAATTAGAGCACGGAAGAGTAGTTGTCTGTAGGATGATGTGGTTTCATGCACCTCCTTTGAGGAGCACTGGTGTGTGATTAAGGTCTATTTAATGCCTGCTTTACCCTCACTAATTACTTAACACAAACTCACTGTGTAGCTTTACCTGCGCTATCTTTCAAGCGCCTTTCCCAGGGATGGCAGTCATACCAGGAATATGAGTCACACTGGGCTTCAGTTGAGTACAATGTGTTGTTATGAGAAAGTGAGATCATTTTCTAGGAGGCTTAGACCTTAGGAACATTTTGATTTAGTTTGCTTATTGCATTGTTGTATGTAAGTTTCCCTTCCGTGTGTTGGCCTACGTTTGCTTTTGCGTTTCTTCTAGAAAGTGCTTAGTGTGTTGGCAGTTCTCTGCAGTCATGAAGCAATAGTTCTTCGACTAAAATTTCACCTAATGTCATGATGTCACGGCCAAATCATTAATCACCCTTTTATTTACTTTTATGGGTGTGTTTGCAGCCCTCTATTTTATAGAGTGAAAGAGGAATTTACTCAGAATCTTAGTAGTATTTGCCATTTTTAAAGTGAATGTCAGCTGTTCTTTCTCTTGGGAGAGGGCATGGTGTGGAGGGTTGCCTCCAAGGGAGAAAAAAGAAAATGGTGTTTCACATATCATCATGGCACCGTCAGTCTGTGAGCAGTCTAAAGCTTTGTTTTAGCGTTTTTTCTGTTTCAAGACTTCGGTATAATATAGGGGCACAGCTCTGTGTATCATCAGCAGCAAATGTTGTTGGGCTGGTGAAGACGCTTTTTTAAAATTCCTCCCTCTGCATCCCTCCCTCCCTCTTCGTATGTAGGCATACTTGGTCTATTATAGGGCTTTGTTCTTGTTGAATATTTTAGAATAGTGACACTTAACTCTGGCTGAGAAGAGAACCTACTTCAGCTTGGGGGGAAAAAAAAGAAATGGCCGAGTGTCGCTGGGCTTGCTGAGGAAGAATCCCAGGGTGGGACCCAAGCAGTCTTATTTTTAGAAGCTCCACAAGTGATCAGATGGGCAGCCAGGCTTGAGAAACACTTTTAGAATTGGCTTTCAGGCTTATTCCATTTGGAGATTGTTATTGGATTTGTGTTCTTAATAAATATGATGGAACAGTTGGGAATGGAATGATTTGGTACTAGGAAGTTTGGTTCTTGGACAACATCATGACAAAATGACTTTAACTTGGAAACACGAGTGTCTAACAGTACTTGGAGCTGTCTCAAGTGTATGCACTTATGGTACTCTGTTTTCTTCTGTGAGCCCAAATATGGATCTTACTGTTTTAGAATTCTTAAGAATTCTCAAAGGATTCCTAAATTCAAAGCAGTCTTCAATAAATGTAGCCCACTTCTTTGCCTTTTATGTGATCCAGATAGTACTTTTATCATTGTGTTGCATGTAAAAGAGATATTCATTTTAATTTTGAAATGATTCTCTTAGGTAGGCTTGAGGTAAACATAACTGAGATTACAAGAGGTGTTGGACTAAGTGGTCTGTAACGTCCTTCTAGCTCTAAGATTTGGTGATTTAAGAATGGAAATGTTACCTTACAAATAAGGAAATTCATTTGGTCTGTGGCTAGGGTACCAGTCACAGTCACATTAAAAGGTTATATGTGTGTGTGGAGGGGTGGTCTTTATATATCTGCTTGTTAGTGGGTGGAAATCTCAATATTGTAAAATAGCATTTTTTTTTATTTTATCCATAAATTTAATGGAATCATGCTTCAAAAGGAACTGATTGGGACTTTTTGAAGGGAGACTTGAGAAAAATTGATCTGAGAAAAGTAAATGTGTTTGAATAGTCAAAAAAACCTTGAAAAAAGAAGCTCTTGAGGCTTACCCTATCAAAAGTGGATTGCTATAAATTGTCAATAATTAGAACAGTGTGTGGCAGGCGGAGGAATGGAGAAAATAAGTAGTGAAGCAGAAGAGAGAGTGAAATAAATTGACAGGTTTGTGGGAGTTTAGTAGTTAGTAAAGCATTTCGGATCAGTGAATGGAAAAAGGATTATTTAACATGATATTGACGCAGTTGACTACCCACTTGGGGGG